AAAAGTGTGAATAAGTTGATGGAGGCCTTACAATGCATTTCTTCTTTGCATATCATCAAGTAGTTTGGTGCTGCCCGAGTATAGGGGAATGGTTGCCAGTAATAGAATATTTGTCTCAGAATTGCTTATACTAGGGGTTGGCAAACTTTTTCTGTAAAGGGCTAGATAGTAAATATGTTAGGTGTTGTAGGCCGTAGACTTTGCAGCTACTGAACTGTCATTGTGGTGTAAAAGCAGTCATCAACTGTATATCAATGAGTTATCATGACTGTGTGCTAATAAAACTTTGTGGACATTCAAATTTGCATTTCATATACTTTTTATGTCATAAAATATTACTTTTAATTTTCAGTCATTTAAAAATGTAAAAACTTTAAAAACTATTCTTACTTAGCTCCACTGGTTGTACCTTAAACTTAGTATGTCCAGAACTGAGCTCCAAATGCTCTCCTCATCCTCAAACCCATTCTTTCACAGTCTTTCATATCTCAGTAAATTAAAGATCCATTGTTTGGGCCCAAAATATTAAAATTACCCTTGATTATTTCTTTATTTTTCTCTTCTGGCAGCTGATTGTGCTGTACCTTCAAAATGTATCCAGAATCTGATCTGTTCTCACTACCTCCACTGCGCCCTTCATCCAAGTGTTCATTCTTCTTCTGGATTTTTGCAGCAACCTCTGAATTGATTTCTGTCCACTTCTGCTCTCTTTCCCCTTCATGACCCCCCCCCCACCACCTTAATGACTTCTTTGTTATAGAAGAGAGCAGCGGAGATTTTTGAAACCAGACACTTTGAATTTTAGGATTGCAGTATGATTTGGGGGAAGTCACTTTACTTCCCTGAATCTCAGTCTTACATTTAAAATGGGCATAATACTTGTTTCATAGAATTGTTATTAGTATTGAATGAGATAATATTGTAAAGATCTTTCTGGTACTGCACCCAGCAGAGAATAGGTAATGGAACAAATAAATTGTGGTTCCTTTTTCTCTTTTCTACTCCAAACAGATGAGCTGCTTTTCATCTTTTCTGGTTATTAAAGTGCTTATGTAGCCAGGGCGCATCTTATCTATGTACCTACCTCTTCATAAGTGACATTTGGCTAATAAATAAATCTGTCTTATGTTCCTGGTCCTTCCTTTTGCACTTTAAAAAAAATTCCATTCATATCTTTCAGTTCATGTCTGCCTTTGTTGGCATTAAGTGTATACAGTTCTTACAGATTCATGCCTGATTAGTAAAAGGCACCAGAGTTTATACTTGAATAGTAAAACTTTAATCTCTTTGTATTGTATTCTATTCAGTTTTAATACCCCTCCCATGCCTTCTATTAGGGTCATATATTTAAGTTACCAAAGAAGGATTGAAAACAACCAACTTTAAAATTTTTTTCATAAAAGCTAATCTGTTATTGATTCTAGCACAGTATTTAACTGAGAACACTAAAGATGAGCTTGGCTTACCAAGTTCAAGGTTACTTAAATTGTTAATTTTTCAACTCTAATATTTTGATCCTGGATTGAAAAGAAGAATCATTTAAAGTATCCCCTTCTTACAGGAAAGAAAATATTTTTCTTGGAATTGTTCAGGCACTTTCTTACTAGACTTTCTCTAACTTAAGTTCCTTCATAGAAATCACTACATACTGAATATCCCTATATGGTTGGTATTTCTTTACCAGGCCTATTTTAGTGCTTTAATACCCCTCAATTGAAAGTTATTTACACTTTGAGATAAATTCTCCAATGACATTTTTCCCCTTTGAAATAATGGGAATAGGAAATCTATTCATGTTTCTCAGTATTAAAAGTATATTGTTTTATATTGCTGGATTTAACTCAGTGTGCAGATAAAAAAAACAAATGTTCTCTGCTGATTATCTCAAATCCAGGAAACCTAAGCTCTGGTTTTAAAAGCTAGTACTTGAGTTGAACAGTCAGGTCTTTTCTTTTTATTTCTGTATCTGTTAAAACAGGGGGCTTTCCTCTGCAAAGTTCACAGTATAATCTGAAGTAAGTCTTTAACTTAAGTTTGATGAGTAAATTCTTACCTCATAGACACAGCCCCGTCCTATCTTCTACACTCTGGGGTGAGGTAATCAGTCTTGTGCAAATAACTTGACTTGCTTGAAGACTGAAGGTCTTCTGTTTTGTCCATAAATGTAGATATAAGTGTCCTGCGTGGGAGGTCTTATCTGTACTTTGAATTGTGTGTTAAGTGAAGCAAAAACATTTAAAGTACTGTATGTCATTGTAGTCTTGTTATTTTGGATAATGGATTCATTGGTTGCATAAGCATACCACAAACACTTTTAAAGAGGTTGAAATTTTTTCCAACATCATCTTGGGGAAGTGGTGAGTTTATTCTTCTTAAAAAATCTTTACTGTTTACTTTTACCTGAGAGTTAATCTCAACTCTTATGTTCAGTCTACACTGGAGTAAGATGTGGTTGGTTATAGGGTTTCAGTCTTAAGAGTGAATTGCTCAAATTTACTGCAGTGTATTTCTGATTTAATTTTGAAAGTTTAGGCAGTTAAAACATTTTAGATTATGATGGTATCAAAATTGATTTTTTTGTCTTATTATTCACTGGCTTGCTGACTTAAAACTATATCTTAAGCCATTTCTTGCCTATATTTTTCCTCTGGGTTGTTTTATTGATATCCTAACATTCCACAGATGATGCAAATTTAATACTATTTGAAGCCTAGTTTTTTTTTTTTAATTTTTTGCCTCGTATTGTTTAGGAAGACAGCGCTGATGAGGGAAATGTCTATATTTTATTCATATTACTTCTCACATACTTTAAGAGCATGTTTTTTTTTAAAGATTTTTTTTTTAATTTACTTATTTGACAGAGAGAGAGAAAGCCAGAGAGGGAACACAAGCAGAGGGAGTGGGAGAGGGAGAAGCAGGCTTCCTGCCGAGCAGAGAGCCCGATGCGGGGCTCGATCCCATGACCTGAGCCGAAGGCAGACACTTAACGACGGAGCCACCCACGCGCCCCTAAGAGCCTGTTTTGATGTTAAAACAAATTATATATATAAAATTTTATCCACATAGAAAAATCAGAAAAATGAAAATTTAAGACCCGCCTGAATATGAATGTTGCTTATTGTAATTGATTTACAAGTAAAGGAGAAGAAAGATACTTGCATAAAAAAATTAATTACTAGGATGAAAGATTGACTAGTATTGTCTTTACGCATCCTGATTTAAGATGCCATAGATTTCTGGTATACTTTTGTATTTTGATAAAATCAACATTGGGGTGCCTGGGTGGGTTCAGTCGGTTAAGCGTCTGCCTTCGGCTCAGGTCATGATCCTGGGGTCCTGGGATCAAGTCCCTCATCGGGCTCCCTTCTCAGCGGGGAGACTGCTTCTCCCTTTCCCTCTGCCTCCCTCTCCCCCTGCTTGTGCTTTCACTGTGTGTCAAATAAATAAATAAAAATTTTTTAAAAAATGAATGTTTATTCCACAATAATTTAGGACTGCATAATACTTATCTTTTTCTTTTGTTTAATCTGTTGAAAGACCTAAGTTATTTGATCTGTATAATTTCCCACAGTCTGAATTTTGTTGATTGTGTACCCAGGAACAATTCAACATTTTCCTCTGTCTTTTGTTTTTCCTGAACACTGACAGCTAGATTCAGAGGTTTGACCAGACTCAGGTTTGATCGAAAACTATAGTTTTGCTCCTGTCATCAAGAGGCATATAATGTCTGGTTTTTACTCTTTTTTAATGTTATTAGTCATTGATGCTCAGTGCCTCTGGAGCCATTAATTCATTATGAAATGGTGATATTCTCATTTTTTCTTTTGGTTCTCATTTATTATCTGGAATGATTTTATAGAAGATCTCTCTTATGTACTCTTTGGGTACCAGTACAATTTATATAGGAAATGTAGCATGAATTGCTTAGTTCTTTCCTTTTTCCCAGATTTCAAGATAATGAACTGGATTCCTGTCATCCTCAGAAGGTGACCAGTTTAGTGTAGTGTTGTTTTTTTAAACATCATTGTGATCTCATGACCAGGGAGAGCCCACTCCCCACTGGGCTTGATCCCAGGACCCTGAGATCATGACCTCAACTGAAATCAAGAGTCAGTGCTCAACCAACTGAGCCACCCAGGTGCCCCAACTTTCTGTTTCTTTTAAGATCTTCTGTTATGTTTATTTGTTTGTTTTCTTATAGTTCAGTCTTCAGTACTGAAATGATTTTTGTTTTATTTCTAGTTCTTTCTTGGTTTCTCTTTCCTCATTTCTGAGTTTTTCTGATTCTGATTTATATTGCTCTTTGATGTATTATATAATTTTCTTATATCTTATAAGACGTATAAATGTAATTTTTATTAGTAAAACATATAGCCCAAGGGATTATTTGACATACTTTAAACAGATAAGCAGCTGTAATTAATTTAGACATTGCTTTAAATCTTTAAATCAAGGCTTAGATACTGGGATCTGTGAGTGAACTTCAGAGTTGATAACATTATTCATTACATGCGAAGTAGAGTGTATATGTATGGGGATAGGGAAGGAACTGCTTGACTTTCTTTACACTTCCAGAGGGAAGTGTAAACTGTCCTCACAAAAATATGGGTAAGAACCTTTGATTTATATAGGAAAAAGTCCTCAAATATTTCAGTGATTGAGATTATAAGAAATGAGAACAAATGCTAGATATTATAGTTTTTAAAAAAGATTATTTATTTTGGGGGGGGAGAGTGTGTGGGGTCGGAGGGGCAGAGGGAGAGGGAGAGAGAGAATCCAAGCAGACTCCCCGCTGAGTGCAGAACCTGATGCTGGGTTTGATCTCACAACACTGCAACCCTGAGATCATGACCTAAGCTGAAATCAGGAGTTGGACACATAACCGACTGAGACACCCAAGTGCCCCTAGATAGTGTAATTTTAAGATGCAGATGGCACCATAGAAGATATTACATCAATTCCATTATCTATTTGCTTATGCCCTTTCTACTTTTAAATAGATGGAGGGAGCGAGGAACCACCGGATCGAAGACAGTCAAGTGTAGACTCTCGCCAAAGCCGCTCTGGGCAAGGTAAGCTTTCATTAAATTTATTATTAAATTGAAAAGATATCAGCTATTCCTTTCTAGTACTAACTCTGAGGTTTGGGGTTTTCTCTGGGTCTAGTTTATTTTATTTTATTTATTTGAGAGAGAAAGAATGAGAGACAGAGAGCATGAGAGGTAGGAGGGTCAGAGGGAGAAGCAGACTCCCCGCTGAGCAGGGATCCCCATGTGGGACTCGATCCCGGGACTCCAGGATCATGACCTGAGCCGAAGGCAGTCGCCCAACCAACTGAGCCACTCAGGAGCCCTCTCTGGATCTAGTTTAGATATTCTAGTTTCTCCTTTAGAGCTTTAAATGTGGTAATCTAAAAGTTCTATGATATCATTTATTCAAGATAAAATGAAAAATTTTCTCGTCATTTTTTTTAAATGCTAATACCTTAATAAGATTTTAAGTAATTTTGAAGCTTTGTGATATATATCTGGATATCACTTTTGGAATATCACCTAAAGTAAATTTTTAACAGTAACATTTGTATTAGCACACTGGCTTTTTAAAATTTAATCAATACAGTATTTGTTGTCTTATCTCAGAAGAAATGGTTTTTGTTTATAATTGCTATTTTAAATTAGGATCTTACTAATTATTTTCCTTTTCTGTTGAAAATTTATTATCTGCTGTAGACTGGTTTTTTGAAGTGAACAACTTCCAAACTAGGTAAAAACATCCTGTATCAGTGAAATCTTCAGATAGGCCTTCCCTAATTAACTTATTTAAAATTGTATGACTAGTACCCCCACATTCCTTTTTCTTCATAGTACGTATCACCTTTGTATTTATTCTATTTTCTCTGTCCAAAACTAGAATGAATGTTTCATGATTATAGAGATTTTTGTCTGTTCTGTTCATTATTGTATTTCTAGTGCCAAGAATAAGTACCAGGCATATAGTAGTTACAAAATAAATATTGCTGAATGAATGAAATGATCTCTAAGAGAATGGAATTGAGAACCCGAATTGATGAATATATTACAAAATTTCAGGCAGTCATTTTGACTGATGTATGATTCTTAGAGAATGTTTACTTATAAATAAAATAAAGCTTTGATTTACAAATGTATGGTGTTTTTTATCCTGTAAAAGTTTCTGGTTCGTTTATTCCATAATCCTATTACCTTTTTTCTCCAAGTTTGCTCTTCCCTAGTTTTGGAGTTGTACTGTTTTTATAAAATTATTTGTTGCAGAATAAAAAGAGGAATAATATATGCAGGTTGATTTGGAAATTTTAACTTATACTAGTACTTACTCATTCTTAAATAATATGCATGGTATTATATCAGAAATTTGTCTGATTTTTTTTCCCCTTAAACATTTTTATATGAAAGAAGAACTTAAAATGAATTACAGTATATAAGTATATCAAATCAACACATTGTACACCTTAAACTTTCATAGTGTCATATATGTCAATAATATCTCAATAAACCTGGGGGGGGAAGAAAGAAAATGAACACATGTATGAAAGACCCTAAAAATAAAATCAGTAGAAATTAATAGAAAAAAATTATACTAATTTTTATTAAATATCATAATTTGTATTAAATGTCACAGATATAGATATTGGAGATTATTTATTTATCTTATGCCCCATGGGCTGTGTCAGTTAAAATACTTTTCAAATCACTGAGTGTAGTTGAGTTTTAATAACAAAAGCTGAGGGGCACCTGGGTGACTCAGTTAAGTGCCTGCCTTTGGCTCAGTTCATGATCCTGAGGTCCTGGGATTGAGCCCTGCATCGGGCTTCCTGCTCAGCTGGGAGCCTGATTCTCCCTCTCTCTCTGCCCCTCCCCCTGTTTGTGCTTGCTCTCTCTCTCAAATAAATAAATCTTTAAGAAAACAACAAAAACAAAAGCTGAACCTAATAACAGCAAAATCAGTGATCTCCATGACCTTGAGCACAACTACCTGATCTCAGTTAGAAATTACCAGGAATTGTATCATCATTAGAGTTAACTAATAGTTAAAGCGTGTTTCTTACCTTCTCTGAGATTTTGTTTGTAGTATCTCTTTATTCAAAAGAGAAATAAAAATTACAAAGCCATCTATAATGAGCTGAATGAGCATCAGTATTATCAGGAGTAAAGAGATGGGATAAACAGGCACTTCCACCTTTGCTCCTTGCCGAAAACCTGCTAAACAATCGGTAAAGGGGGATTGGAGAAAAGCGAACATCAACACAATTTAGAAACTGGAGAGTATATGAATAATTAAAAACTGAACCCTAAGCTCAATAGCAGAGAAAATCAAGAAAACAACCTCAAAAAACTCAAGAATGGTGGCATGTAGAAATGGAGATGAAAGGAAGATTAGCTGAAAGTCAGTTGAAGCAGCATTTGATTCCTGAGACCTCTTCCTCAAAATTAGCTAACCAGTCAGCTGGTCAAGTGCCCAACTCCCTACTCTTATCATTGGCAAAACCCAGAAATTTATTCTTTGGAATAAAATAGAGATTCTAGACTGGGAGACACCTACCAGGCATAGTTGAGGGCAGTCCTATACTGAAAATAGGACAGTTGGACTCCAGTTGTCTTTATCCTGTTGGCACTAGGATACTGGCAGGTAGGCTTTCATATTTCAGGCAGGAGGTTGGCATAGTCTTTTCTGAAGAATCTGACTAAAAAGAAAGACACAAAATGTAGCCATCAGAGATTCCTTAAAAAAACAGCCCAGCTAGATCGCTCTATGTATCAAAGCTCTCAATCAGCCTTTTAGTCCTCTTCTCTTAAATATTAGCAACTAACCAAGGGTTACTTTAGATATTTGAAGAAACCCTCTAATGTATGAAAGATAGAGATTAAAATAAGTAGAATAAAGCAACTTGGAGAGAACTTGGAGAAATTTTGCAGAGAAAAATAATGGAACTATTATTAATATTCTTTAGAAAAAAAAAGAAAAGACTTTTATCAGATATGTAATTTTTTTTTTTTGGGGTTTTTTTTTTTTTTTTTTTTGCCTGCCTTGTACCCTTTCTTAGGAATCTTTAGGATATGATCCATCAAAATGAAAAAGACAAATAAAAGGAAGAAATGGGTTACAGGAAATAGGAAGTTCAACAAAGGAGAAAGGTAAAGAAATCTTTAATATGACAATGAGAAGACAGGGAGAGAGGAAAACCAAACCAGATTGGAGTAGGTTAGAAGCCTCCAGAAGGGTTGTTTCACAAAAATGACATTGGTAGAAACCTGATGCATTTAATTATCTTCAGAAAAATTTTAAACAACTGGCAAAAGGTTTAGGGTTGAATTGGTGGTGAATACATAAAATAATAAGTAAAAAAAAAAAAGTCCTAAATTCAAGGGAAAACAAATAATGTGTAGGAAAGGAGATATTCTTCAGAATAAGCCTTCAGTCCTTGGGGCAGGGTCTGGGGTAGCTGATGTCTATGCCTGTCATACCACTTTACGTATGGTACAAATATTTCCATTATTTGATTTGGACCATTATGGTTGGGAAGTAGGACTCTGAGCAAATCTGGTGTATGTGGCTTCTTTTTGGACAGTTGATAGATTTGATTTGCTGAAATAATTTTTATTATTTTTGCATCTATGTTCACGTGGGATATTGACCTTTAGTCTTCTTGCCTTACAATGTCTTTGTCTGATTTTGGTACCCGGAGTAATGCTGGCTTCCTAGAGTAAGTTGAAAGTTGAGAAGTATTTTCTCTACTTCAATTTTCCTAGAATGTTTTGTGTAGAACTAGTATTATTTCATCCTTAAATGTTTGATAGAATTTCTCAGAGAAGCCATCTGGGCCTGGAATGTTCTTTATGAGAAAGTTTTAAGATACAAATTAAATTTCTTGAATAAAATATGACTATTTGAATTATCTTTTCTTGGGTAACCTTTTAAAATCTGTAGATCTTCAGTGATGTCACCTCTTTCATTCCTGATATTGGTAATTTGGATATTCTTTCTCTTTGAACTGATCATTCTGGGAAGAAATATATCAATTTTATTCATCTCAAAGAATCAGTTTCAGTTTTCATTTATTTTCTCTGCTGCTTTCCTGTTCTATATTTCATTGATTTCTGCTTTATTATTTCCTTTCTTCTTTCTGCTTTGGGTTTAATTTCTTTTTCCTTTTCTAGTTTCTTGTGGTAGAAGCTAAGGTCATTGATTGGAACTTGCTTTTCAGTATAGCAATTTCAGTGCTATAAAATTTCCCTCAGTGTACTGCTTTAGCTGCATTTCACAGAATTTGATGAATATGATTTCATTTAGTTCGAAATACTGTCTGATTTCCCTTGTGATTTCTTCTTTAACCCATGTGTTATTTAGAAGTGTGTTGATATAGTTTCCGAATATTTGCGAATTTTCCATATATCTTATATTGATTTCTAATTTAACTTTGTTCTTGTCAAAGAACACTTTCTTTGAGTTGAATCACTTTTATTGAAACTTGTTTTGTGCTCCAGGAAATGATCTATCTTATGTTCAGTATGCACTTAAAAAGAATGTGTATTTTGCTCCTTTGGGGTGGAAGGTTCCATAAATAACAGTCTGGTCAAGTTGATTGATAGTGTTGTTCAGGTCTTCTCTACCTTTGATGATTTTCTGTCTGCTCATCCTTTCAGGTACTAGGAGAGGAATATTGAAATCTCAAGTTATAAGTATGGATTTATCTCTCTCCTTTCAGTTATATCATACTCCTTATACTTCTGTTCTTCTGGTCAAAAGGATTCCCCTCCCTCAGAGATTTAAGTATCCTCTCCGTGAGAGCTGCTGATAGTGAAATAGGTTTGCCCCGGGGGCAGAGCTGGAAGAAAAAGGTAAAAAGAAAAAAAAAAGCCAGGGGATTTTTCCCTCAGTCCCATATGGAGCCGCCCTCACATCCTTCATTCATTCTGCCTAACCAGGTAGAGAAGACTTGTTTTGCATCTTTCTTTTCACCCCTGCTCTGCTGTTCCAGGATTTGGGTTTCCGTTGAGTTCAGGCTGGGAGTTTGGGGACATAAAAAAACAGTAGG